TTCTTTTTTATTATTTTTATTAGAGATGTCCCTCTTTTTTCTCCCATCGACAACCTCCTCCCCGTCCCTCACCTATATTTTCTTGTAGAATTTTTATGATTTTAATTTTTATGTTAAAGTCTTTGAGTCATTCGGAACTTACTTTGGTACAGAGAATGTGGTAGAGTCAGTTTGAGATTTTCCCAAATGGTTAGCCAACTGTTCCAGTGTCATTTGTTAGGTGACCTCCCTTTCATTGTCATCCTTTCTCCGGTCCTTTAGGGGCCACATGGCTCTATCTAGTCACCAGAGTGGAATCCACTTAAGTGCCACGTTGCTTTCCCCCAGGTCTCCCAGAGACAGACCGGAGAGGCCTGTCACACGGATCCTGCAGAGGCCTCTGTCATCAAGATAGAGGAGAGTCAAGTCTCTCAGAGATGGGAGGCCACCGCTGCCCTGCTGGACACAGAGAACAAAAGCCTCCCAGTCCTGAGAGAGAAGTGGGACACGCATCCAGTGTCTTCCTTTAGAAAGAAAAAGAGAGAGAGAAAGAGAAACCTCAGGGGAGAGTGTACTCACTATAGAGAAAGAAGAGACACACTCATACCTGTATCTCTGAAGACACAACTTATACACATCCTACATACATCCATACCACATGTGCACCCAGAAATACATGTACATCACACCCACCCCGCCCACACATCAGATACTCTGGTTTTCTCCAGTAGGGGGCTCCCCGTCCTAAAAAACCCTCTTCACAGGAACAAGCATGGTAAAGCCAGTGTAATAACCAGACTCCTTTTCAAGGGTAAACAATCTAGATCCCCAAGTATATATATCTATAATACCCCAATTTGAGAAAAAGAAAACAAAGACCGGGTGTCAATGGGGGGGAGGGGAGAAACATGTGTAACAAAAATAAATTAATATAAACATTTAAAATAAACAAAGAGCCGCGCCGGCGGGGGGGGGGAGGGGGGGAAGGGGGGCCCGCGGCCCGCAGCCCGCAGCCCGCTACCCGCGCGCCCAGGGCCCAGCGCCCCCGCAGCCCTTCCGCGCGGGGACCCCCGTCGGGGGTTGCCACGCTCATCGCCAAGGCGATGGACTGTGAGCAGCGCTTCGGCTGCGGCCGCCGCGGAGACACGGACGGCGGCGGCGGGTCCAACCCTCCTCTTCCTCCTAGAAAATAAAAATAAATTAATTAAAAAAGAAAAGACAACAAGGACCTATTTTATAAAGATCTTCCCATTGCTTCCTGATACATGTGTAAAACTGCTAAAAAGATTTGTCATGGGCCCAGTGGATGTGGCTCAGTGGATTGAGCGGTGTCCTATGGACTGAGAAGTCCCTGTTTGATGCCCCATCAGGGCGTAAGCCTGGGTTTCGGGCTCATCCCCAGTGGGGGGTGTGCAGGAGGCAGCTGATCTATGTATCTCTCTCACATCTATGTTTCTACCTCTCTCCCCCTTCCTCTCTTTCTCTAAAAAACTCAATACAAACATTTTAAAAAATTAAAAAAAACAGATTTGTCATCATTAATATAAAATGTAAGTTTTAAAAATTTCCCCAGACTTAAAAGATCCCTCAAGGACATAGCTGCAGACCCCTAGGGTGGAGAAGAGGGTTGAGGAACTCTGGCTTCAGGTAATATCACGCAGTGGATCTACAATGTAATATCTTTACACACACACAAGTACAACAAGTTTTTCTTCTTTATTTTTTTTTTAATCTTTAAAAATTGGTTTTAGATAGAGAAGAAGAGGGAGAGGGAAAAAACACATCAAGTTATTGTTCCACTTATTTATGCATTCATTGGTTGACTCTTGTATTTGCCCTGACCAGGGATCAAACCTGCAACCTCGGTGTATAGAGACCATACGCTGACCATCTGAGCTACCTGGCCAGGGTTCTCCTTTTCTGCCTCTCCTGGTTCAGCTGGTCCAGGGCTCAGGCAGCAAATGCAATCCCCTCCCCTTTTACTTTGTTCCTTAATCTGAGTGTTTCCAGTAAAAAATAGTTTATGGTTTTTACTGGGAATTTTTAAAAAATTATTGTTATAAAAGTAGACAATTTAGAAAATACAGATTTTTTCTTTTTTTTTTATGTGAAGCCACCCCCTCACTCTGAGGTATTTCTTTAAGTTGTGGTGGGCTCCTTCTTGCCTTTTTTGTTGTTTGAGTGTTTTCCAGTAAAGACCCAGCAAGGGCCAGTGCAGTCACACAGCTCACCACCGCTTACCGGGCCCAGGACCTCAGACTGACCTGGGAGCTCTGTCTCACCTGTCAGAGGCTGGAGCTGTGAACAGGTCGGCTGGGGAGACACCTTGTCCCAATTTCCTGTGCTGTTCTCCCCAGAGCAGTGTTTGTTCTTTTCTGGAGACTCCCCAGAGATGAGAATGAGAGAGAGGTGCTCAGACCGTCCCAGCCCTGTTCTCTCTGCCCTCTCTGCTCGGGCTCAGCCCTGTGGTTCAGGGTTGAGAAGCATGGCCTTGGGCCAGGACAGCTCCCTCCTGGCAGCAGTCCAGCAGGTGACCAAGGCACAGAAGGAGAATCCTTCATGCCTGTGATGGCTCTCCCCCTTCTCCGGCTCCCTACTCATTTTCTGTGACGCAGGGAATCCTGTCTTGTAGGACCCAGACTAACACACTAATTAGGTAAAATACAAAGGTATACAGCAGACAGATTTCTCTCTGTTGCTACCTCATCAGAGGTAGTACCTGCACAGATAGTTATGAAGTTTGCAGGACATATTTGGAAGGGTCTGGCTTAAAATACAGGCTATGTGACCTACTCCAAATTTATTTTGCAGGTCCCAGGGGTCCCTCAAACAGCTGGGCTGTCATCCTCAGAGAAGCTGAAACTGAGACACAATGAGAGAGCTGTGTGATGAGTGTGAAGAGAAGGAACAGATATGCCTCCAATAAAAAGTCACACAGGTGACCTGAGCTGCCTCTCCCCTGGGCACCAGGTGGTTCGTTAACAGTGGTTAACAATTCTCCCAAGGAATGCCAGGCAGGCCAGCTGCCACGTGTCTTTGTGGGCCCTGGAAAAATGTGGAAGGACACATATCCTTGCAGTAACAGGAGACTCTCTGGAGATTGCTCTGATGGGGGTACTTTCATGTTCTCTATTTAAAATTTCATATAATGGTGTGTTTAACTGGGGGGAAAATGGAGACATTCCATTTTCCACAAGTCATTTGAGAATATGGAAACAAAGGTAGTCAGTGCAGATGCAGTGGTCCTGGTGAACTTCGCAGAGGTAGCAGGTTAGAGCTGAGCCTCTGAGGACAGGGAGGAGTCAGAAGGACTGTCCTCACTGCTCTAGAGCTTTGAGGAGAAGTTACAGTCATGACCGTGAGGAGCCAGGGTCTGAGGAAAAGACCACTGTGCTGATACACTTAACTAAAACCATCGCTTGGAGTCCAGGATGCCAGTTGGTCAAGGCTGGATGGGGTAGGGGTCAGTGGGGTCAAGGCCACCCCAGTCCCTGAGGTTCTTATCTCAGCCCTGAGCTGGCAGTGAGGAAGCCAGAGGGGTGAAGATTGAGAAAGAGCCTTCATGGTTGGGGCCTGGATACCTCACCTACCCTCATGCTCCAGGCCCAAGGCCCTCTGATCTGTGACTCTAGGAGAGACCCAGGGACTCAGGTGGATGCCTCTTCTCCTCTCCCCAAGCCAGGCAGCCAATGTCAGGCCTTAGGGACAGAATGACAGGGATGCTATAGGGTGGGAAGCAGGGGAGAAGGAGGGAAATGTAGGAAGACAGGAAGAGGTAGCAACACACACACAGATAGGAACACACGGAAGGACTCAGAAACACGCGCGGAGGGACAATGAGTTAGATCTGCATGTGCACACGCACAGAAAGGTCGTTAGAGACAGAAAGAGGGACAGAATGAGAGACAGACAGAAAAGTTAAGGGCAGGACCTACACTCCACTCATTTGCTTCCTAGGAGCAGACAGGACTCACAAGGACAGGTCAAGAGGGAGGACAGAGCTAGAGGTGGGATCTGACACCAACATCGCAAAGAGCAAACACTTGCTGTCACTTGCTAAGTGTTTAGCACTACACTGGATGTTGCAGAGAACAAAAAGGTCCATGTCCCTGTACTAGGAAAGATTACTGATAGGCTGAGGGGGCCTGTCCCAGGGCCAACAGTTGATCAAGGCCCCCACAGAGCTGAGGTCTCCAGGGTGGCTTGGCGACAGGGCTGCGTTGGAGCTGTCTCTTGAAGAGCAGGTGGGAAGAAGAGACACAGGTTTTCAGTGGAGGTGGGAAGACACATCTGGGTACAGTTAGGAGGGCCCCGAATGCCAGGCTAAGGAGGCTGAGGGAGCCACGGTCACACCTGAGCAGAGGAGTGAGGTGGAGGAAGCTGTGCGTTAGGGAAACCCGACCTAGAGAGCAGCGGAATAAAACGGAGCCGAGGGTTGCCAGCACCCACTGACCTTCCAGCCCCCTCTCCTGCCACCCACTGTCTGTCTGCCACTACATTCCAGCAAACCCAAACCACTGGCCACACGGACCACTTCTCACCTCCGCGCCTTTGCTGTGGGGGACCCTCTGCCTGGAAGGCCTTCCCTGTTCAAGGCCTTTCATTACAAATGCAGAAACATGGTATAAGCTCTTCTCGGGTTTTCTCTTCCAGGAAACCAGGCAAGGCAAGGAAGCCCAGCTCCTTCAGTGTGAAAGCCAGTAGGAACTCTCCTCGGGCTCCGCTGAATCAAGTCATGTTTTCAACAAGACCAGGAAATAGAATTGGCGCTATCAGCGTCTTGGCCTTCCTACACCCAGAATTTGCCTGTTCCCCATGGGATACCTCGCCAGCTGTCAGGCCTCAGTATCCACACCCTGAAGAGAGGAAGGAATGGGCTGGGAGGGATGGAGTGACAGGGCAGAGCACATTTGCCTAGAGTTGCTTTGGGCTGGCTGGTCACAGAGCAGTGACTCATTACCCAGAGAGGAGGGGAGTGACACTGGGTGCAATCCAATTGGTAGAGCATTGGAGAGCTGGACCCCAGGGCTGGGGGCTGGTTACCACCTCCTCCTTGTCCCCCAGGCTCTTGGAAGAGAAGAGCCTCCTGGGAGCGGGACTCAACCCCAGCATTGTCTAGGAAGGCGGCTGAAGCCTCACTGCCCCCACCCACGCCGCCCACCCACCAGGCCGGAGCCATGGATAAGTTCCGCATGCTCTTCCAGCACTTCCAGTCCAGCTCAGAGTCTGTGATGAACGGCATCTGCCTGCTGTTGGCCGTGGTCACTGTCAAGCTGTACTCCTCCTTCGACTTCAACTGCCCCTGCCTGGCACGCTACAACACCCTCTACGGCCTGGGCCTGCTGCTCATGCCGCCCCTCGCCCTTTTCCTCTGCGGCCTCCTTGCCAACCGGCAGTCCACGGTGATGGTTGAGGAGTGGCACCGGCCCGAGGGCCACCGGAGGAAGGACCCAGGCATCATCAGGTGCGGTCCCATACCACCCAGAGGCCTGTGGGCATTGTCAGGCCCCGCCCACACCTGCATTGGCACTGCCAGGAGCACCCCAAACTCTGACCTTCCCTGGTGGGCATTGTCAGGGCCCCCCACCTGCACAGCTATTCGCATTGCTCCCAGGTCAACACTGAACACTGACTGGGCACCATGCTCTGTGCCAAGTGCTGTGTGCACACGGCCTCTGAATTCTCACCCGGGCCATGGATCTGCTCCTACGTAGGATCCATTTTTCAGGATGAGAGACCTGAGGCACAGAGAAGTTAAGTAACTTGGCTGAGCTCCCACAGGTAGGAAGAAGCACAGTTCACTCTGCTTCCCTTAGTGTTTTGAACAAAACATCTAAGTGCTCCAGACCTGTGGGCAGTGGCAGGAGGGGCTTGGTGGGTTTTCACCCACTCATGATCTCCTCTTTCACCCTATGCTTTTTTTTTTTTTTTTTAAACATATTTTTTTTATCCTCAACCGAGGACATTTTTTTTATTTTCTGCTCAGATAGAGTGGGAGGGAGAGAGAGGAAGAGAGAGAGAGAGAGAAACATCGACGTGAAAGGGACACATCGAGTGGCTGCCACCCGCACGACCAACCAGGGCCGGGGACAAACTACAACCGACGTACATGCCCTTAGCGGGAACCGAACCCGGGTCTCTCGGGACCGAAGGCTGACGCTTTAACCGCTGAGCCAAACCGGCCAGGGCTCACCCTATGCTTTGATATGGACAACTGAGGTGTCTTCAAGTGTATGTAAGGTAACTTCATGAGAAGTCCTCAGTTCCTCTTTCTAACCGGATTGCCCCCATAGAAAATGCTGGAGCTGCCCCTGCCTACAGTGTATTTGTAATTCACCGCTGGGCAGGCCATGCACACACACACACACGCACACGCACGCACGCACGCACTCACACACCATGCACTATTTTACGTTTGCTACAGTGCAAGTTAGAAACATCTGCATCCTGTGCACACGCAGCCTCTGTTTCATGTTCCTCAGGGGCTCTGTGCTCCCCGTCATCCAGCCACACAAGGGAGGGTCACATGCACTGGGTGTGCCCTTGACCTTTTTCTTTGAGAGCCAGTGATTGCAACTCCACTGGGCTCCCGTCCTGTGACCAACACCCAATGCAGGCCACGAGAGGGGTGGAGTAGGTCAAGGGGAGTACCTAGGGACAGTCAGAGGGTGGGCTCCCTGGATACCGGGGAGGTATTTGAGATGCTACATCTGGGAGGGTTATTGGGCAGGGCTGTCTTCATTTGGGATCCCCTCAAAAGCAGGCTCTGGGAAGAACGTGATAATGAGTGGGCAATTGGGGTTCTGTCCTTCTGGGGACCCCCTAAAAGAGTGGGTAAGACACACCTCAGAAATGTTTCACCGAGGGTCTAGGAAGATAGGGTATTTATCCACTAGACCCTATCCCTCTTGGGTTGAAGGTGATTTGGGGGTTGTGAACTTTCTATTGCTTGCAGCCTAACGCTCAGGCAGAGACTCCTCCAAAGCCCTCAGGCAGAGCCACACAAGTAGTTGAGGTGGTTGAGGTGGGAGGTCCTCAGGCCTCAACATGAATAGGAACTATCTGCCAAAGCTGTAGGTGTCTGGCTGAACAGGGCACCTGCAGAGTCTGCTACAAGGCCCAGAGCAGGAAGAACACCAGCTCCCCAATGTTGCAGTCCTGAAACTCCCAGGGCCCTCAGCCCTCCTTCCTCCTTGCCCTCTGTTGCTGAAACTCCTGCAGTGGAAGCTTCAACCATTCCTTTGATGTAACTATGGATAGTATTTCCCAGCCCTCCTGGGACGTCCATCTGTGCATCTCTCCTGTAGCCTTCCTGTTTCAGCTGAATTCCAGCTGCCCTTTGTGACCCACCTCACCACCACCCTTTCCTCTGCCCCCAGGTATATGTGCTTCTCTGTGCTGCAGAGAGCACTGGCTGCCCCCCTTCTCTGGATCCTGCTGGCCCTCCTTGATGGGAAGTGTTTCGTGTGTGCCTTCAGCAGCTCTGTGGACCCTGAGAAGTTTCTGGACTTTGCCAACATGACCCCCAGTCAAGTTCAGCTCTTCCTGGCCAAGGTGCCCTGCAAGGAGGATGAGCTGGTCAGGGACAGCCCTGCTCGAAAAGCAGTGTCTCGCTACCTGCGGTGTCTGTCACAGGTAATTTGAAAGGTCCTCTCCCAACCCTACCAAATATTCCGCATTCGTTCTGAGGGCTGAGGAGGTACAAATTATTTCCTGCAGCCCCTCCCCACTGCTGGAGACATAACCAGGGAGCAGGTGGTCCCCAAGGGGATCAGGAACATGGCTCATGTGCAGGAAAGTGTTGGGCCTTAGGAAGTGGGTACTTGGTCATCAATGCTGACTCACCCCAGGACAGAGACAAGGTACCCATATCCTCCTGGAGTCAGCTAGGCCCATCCTCAGGAGGTTGGATGGCAGAAAGCACTGGAGATATACTGCTCTGTCTACCCCATACACACATTCTTCCCACCCCCTCAGAAATAATACTAATTACCTTTTATTGAGCACTTATGTGTCAGGAACTGTGTTGAGTACTTCATATGCATTCTTTCATTTAATTCTCAGAACAACCCCATGAAGTAGGTACAGTTGTTACCATCCCATTTTACAGATGAGGAAACAGGCTCTGAGAGTTTAGTTCACTAGGCCAAAGTCACACAGCTTGGAAGAGGCAGGGCAGGGATCTGAATACACATTGTAATTCCTAGCCCTCTTACCCACCTCTCTACAGTGCAGGTTCTCCCCAGATGCCTGGCTCCCCAGAGGGTATCAACTCCATTATCCTGGGAACTAACCCCAGCCCCATTCCCAGCCCAGACTCTAGATTCCACCACCACCACTCCCACAGCCCCAGGCTGGGCTGTGTCCTCCAAAAAGTATTGACATGAACCTATACATGCAGAGTATCACTGGGGCCACAGAGAATAAAAACATGACCCCAGTCCATTGTGGAGCTGAGAGAGGCTGGTGGCTAATGCAGGTCTGTGGTGCGGTGTAGAGAGGACCAGTGGTCAGGACACACTTGATTAGGGTTCAGACCGTGACCTTGGCCATGTCGCTCTCTCCCTGGGCCTCAGTTTCTCCTGCAAAATAAAGGGAGATTTTGTCTCCTTCACCTTGATGGTCCCTGTGGGCCTAAAGTTTAGGCTTCACTAGTTCATTGGAAAGAGTGTGGAATTTTCAATCAGACCGAGGTTTGAGTCCTGACTCAGCTATAAGTTTATCAGGCACATTTAACACTCCTAGAATGTAAAATACTCACACAGGTATCTTAAATTGGTAAGTGGAGAGGAGTCTGTGAGAGGCCAAATGAGACATTGTAAATCACATCTACAAATGATAAGGATTCAAATGTGTCTGTGTTAAAGGAGTGAATTCTCTGTTCCAGGTCCACACAGTTGCTCTGGTCTTCAGCGAGGCCTTGAAGAGACTATAGCTGTGGGTGAGCAGAGAGGAGGGAAGGAGTCAGCCAGATGTGGATTCTGCCTTAGAGAACTACTTCCAGTTGTTTCTTACTCTTGGCCTGGAACACTGTTCCCTTTTTCTATCCTATACAAATGTTACTAATCCTTCAGGTCTCAGCCTAAACCTCACTGTTGCCTGAGCCCTCAAGTTCAGGTTGGGTAAATTCCCATGACTCCCTGGCACATAGCCAGACATCACCTATTAATTGTTTCTTCCACTTAAGTATGAGCTCTTTGAGAGAAAAGATTGTGTCCCCAGTGCCCCCCCCCCCAAATATAGGATAGATGCAGGCGTAGACAGAATGGATAAATATATGTGAGGATAGATGGAGGACTGAATAAAAATGAAAGGATGATGGATGGGAGTGTAAGGAAGACTAAACTTTATCTCTTCCTATCTTAAGGTTTTCCACTGAGATGCTAACAAACAACAACAAAAACAAAACCATTAACAAAATAAAACCAATTTATTAACACATGCAATACACATCATGCAGGAGAAACATAAATCAAAGAGTAACTCAAAGTGGTGGCTTAGAATTCTGGCTTATATAGCATCTTCAACAAAGAGTAATACCTTTGTAGAGAAATGACAGGACAAAGGAAAGCAGTTTTAGGCTTCCAAGGGCAGAAACTGTGGGAAGGAAACCTGAGAGGAAACCTGGAGTTTCTCACTTCTTACTAATAGAGTAAGGCTCGTTTGCACATTCCTCTGGTGCTGTCTCTGGGCTGATAAGAGTCTGTCTCCAGTACAAGGAAAATTTATTTATTTATTTATTTATTTTATTTTATTTTTTTTTATCCTCACCCGAGGATATTTTTCCCTTTTTTGTACAGATAGAGTGGGAGGGAGAGAGAGGAAGGGAGAGAGAGAGAGAAACATCGACGTGAAGGGACACATCGAGTGGCTGCCACCCGCACGACCAACCAGGGCCGGGGACAAACTGCAACCGAAGTACGTGCCCTTAGCGGGAACCGAACCCGGGTCTCTCCGGACCGCAGGTCGACGCTCTAACCGCTGAGCCAAACTGGCCAGGGCCAGTACAAGGAAAATTTATATCTTGCCTTTAGGCAGAGAAGAGAAAAATAGAGACAGTATCTTTCTATGTTTGCTTCTTTTTAATTGTCTTCAGCTCAAAATAATTTTAAGTCGAAGAGGCATATTTTGGGGTTTCCCATATATTCTGGTCTCCAGATGAAAGGTTGGGAGGATAAACGATGGGTGCATGAATAGTTGGGTAGATAAATGAGGGAAGGATGACAGCATCAGAACATGAGTAGATGGGAGGATAGATGGCTAGATAGAAGGATGAGTGACTGACAGATAGAAAGATGGTTGGGAGGATGTCTGGATAGGAATATGGTAGATACATAGTCAGATGAGAGAATGGATTGACTGAATGGTCGGGTGGAGACATAGCTGGGTAGATGAATGGATGCAAGGATGAAAGAATGAATGGAAGGGAGGATGGATGGAGGTGTTTAGTAGGATGGATGACTAAACAGGAAGATAAATAGATCGGAGAAAGGATGGAAGAGATAAATAAAGGGAGAGACTGGAACACCCTGGCCTGCAACGTGCCTGCAACCCCGTACAGCGGTGTGCCCCGCCCGCACCTAACCTCATTCTCCCCACCCTAGGCCATCGGCTGGAGTATCACCCTGCTGCTGATCGTCGTGGCCTTCCTGGCCCGCTGCCTGAGGCCCTGCTTTGACCAGACAGTCTTCCTGCAGCGCAGATACTGGAGCAACTACGTGGACTTGGAACAGAAGCTCTTCGACGAGACGTGCTGTGAGCACGCGCGGGACTTCGCGCACCGCTGCGTGCTGCACTTCTTCGCCAGCATGCAGAGCGAGATGCAGGTGCGCGGGCTGCGGCGGGACTCCGCAGGCAGGGCCGCCGAGCCCCCTAAGATGTCAGAGCCCACCGAGGGCGTGGACGGCGGCAGTGGGAAGGCCCATCTGCGCGCCGTCTCCAGCCGGGAGCAGGTGAACCTTCTCCTGAGCACCTGGTACTCAAGCAAACCGCCCCTCAACCTCCCGCGGTCCCCCTGGCTCGGGGAGCATGGCCTCAGCCACCGCGCCCCAACGGCGGCCCCGGGTACCAGGCTGTCCCAGCACACTGATGTGTAGAGTACCTTCGCAGTGTCCCCACATGAAGTGTCAGTGCTGACCAGGGTCGGGGCTTTCTAGGCTGTGGGAACCCCAAGGCAGGGCAGCCTCACACTTGTTCCCCAAAATAGCCTCACAGTGGCCTGGTTTCTGGGTGTGGCCGCCCCTGTGTTCTAATGCAGTGCTTCACAAACTTGAAGGCGCTCACCATTCAGCTGGGCTTTTGTGAAATGCAAATTCCGATTCTGTGCAGCCAGATGGGCCCGAGACTGCAGTTCTAACAGACTCCCAGGTGAAACTGCTGATCCTGAGTCTAAATAAATCTGCCTTGGGTTCTGGGTCCTAGATGTTCAGATTCTAAGTAATAACAACAACACATGTTTCTATGGCGCTTACTATGTGCCAGGCATTGTTCTAACTTCTTTACATACAAGAGTGGGCAGAGTAGAGTTACAGTTGTGAGTTTATTCTTGTATTATTCATTTATTAATTATTGTGTTACTTGTATTATTTCCATACGAACAACTGTAAACCTACGTTTGCCCACCCCTGTATGTTATCTCATTTTATGCTCATGATCACCTAATGCAGTAGAATGATTATTCACCCCACTTTTTAGAAGAGAAAACTGAGGCTTACAGAGGTTACCTGAAGGTCACCCATGTAAGAGCTGAAATTTGATCGCAGGAAGTCTGGCTCCGGAGCCCCTTCTGAACTACCTACCGCATTAGTCAGCCCTCTAGATAGTTTCATTTTGTGTATTTGCTTTCTGTGCTCTGGTTGGGTTTCCTGCCACTTCCGCCAGGGTTCTCTGAGGGAGCTCTAGCAACCTCTGCTTGTTGAGTTGCTCTTGAAGGGGATGATTACTGCCTCCTACTGGCTACTGCACATGAATAATTTTATATTTTCCTGTTGGCGGGATTTTTTCTTTTTAAATATCAAGAGGACTGACCCTTCCAGCTCCCAACTTCCCAAGCCCCACCAATTCTGTTTCTAGCAGCCCTGCCTTGTGCAGCCCCCTTCAAGGTGCACCCCCTTATGAGATGCAGCTCCTTTCTCAGCCCAGCTTTTCTGCTAGCCTTCAATTAGCTGAAGCTTCCTCTTTCACCTCTCCACTCATCACATGCGTCCTGACACTTGAGCTCAGCACTCTTTGTAAGGCTGTCTCCTTCCTCAGGCATTTCCAGGGCTATCTATCCACTGCCCTCAACAAAGAGCTGGCACCCTGGTGAGGGTTTTCCCTGGTGTGTGGTGTAAGGACCAGATCTGCAAATCAGGGTAGGGGCAGACCTAGACATCTCCACATTGAATAAGATGACTTGGTAAGTTCCAGTGTTTAAGAAACTCCGGGCCAATGTAGATGTGGGGTCTGGCTCTGAGTTGAAAACCCTTGAAACACCAGAGTTAGATCTTGCTGAAAACAACCTGCCACTCAAATGTCTGGTGGCCCTAACAGGAAGTGTTGGGGGAGATGTAGCCTGTGAGCTCCTCTGGGCCCCTGCTCCTCCCTAATGACTCACTCACCACACACATGCACACATGCACACACACACACACACACACACGCACATGCACATTCCCACTGTTGCCTTCATCAGCACAAATGATGCAGACCCATGCTTTTCTAGTCCTCAGGGCCTAGGGGTAGTCCAGGGGTCTCTGGATGCCCCCCTAGAACCCAGCTCCCTCCATATCAGGCTAGCCGTATCTGCTTTCCTGAGCTCTTGCCAAGGGACCTTGTAGGACCAGAAAATCCCTGCAGCTCAGCCTCCCTCAACCTCCCTGCTGTGGTCAGACCATGCAAATATCAGAAATGGCACTGGGGTGGGGCAATATTTAGGCAAAGTGCTAGCAGGGATTGGGTAGGGAGGGAGGGGGGAGAGCTTAGAGATGGCCACCTCAGCACTGGTGAGATCTCATCCTGGGGAAAGAAGGCTCAGGGACCTCACTTTGGATAGCAAATATGCAGCATCTGGACCAGTAAAAAGCCAGTGACTGTCCTCAATACTCTTGCCTTCTTATGCTGTGCACTTACAGAGTACCTACTGCATAGACCACCCTGTACCAGGGAACAGGGAAGAGAGAATACACAGATGATAAAGCCTGCCACCAAAGAACTTGCTGTCTAATAGATAGTGATGGGTACAGAAATCATTATAAACCTAAGTAAAAGGTATAATGATATGAAGGAGTTTATCCTGCTTGAGGAAGTGAAAGCTGGCAAGTGAGCTAGAGAGCAGACATTAGGAGGAAACCACTCTCGCACAGCCGTACAGGCCCTGATAAGGCTTTTAAACTTCAGCCATTGAGCGACATTATGTATGTAGTAATTTAATCAAACGTTCACTTTGAAAAGATCACAGTGGCCGCTGCCCAGAGTGGCATGTGAAGGGGCCAGTGTGAACTGCAGAAGGCAGGCCAGAGTTGATGGAGCCTGGATTGGGGTGGAGATGGAGAGAAGCAGCAGAATAGAGGCATTTAAGAGGCAGGACGGACTCAGTGGCTCTTGTTTATAAGTGTTCTGCATTAAATTTGTTAACACACAGGGAGCAGCCCATCCCATACTAGTCAGGTTAGACCTGAATCTAAATCAAGACCAAAATGTCAGTGCCTTAAACAGCAAAGCTGTATCACTCAGGCAGAGTCTGAGGCAGGTAAACAGGGAGGGAGGTGGGGGAGGAAGGCTCCTCTGGTCACTTGGGGACCCAGCTGGCGGGCGCTCCCCCATCTTGGGGTGTCACCATCAGAACACATGGCATTCCCCAGATCCTGAGACAGGGAAGTGAGTGAGAGTGGACGTTTATGTGACAGTGGCTCCCAGGAGGCCCTGGGCAGGAACAGGGGAGGTCACACTGGGAAGGGACGAAAGGCAGGAGAGGGTGCAGAGCCAGCCAGTCACTGCTAAGGGCAACTCTGAGTCCACATCCCCAAGGCATCCCAGCCCAGGAGGGAGAAAGGTGGAGGGTTGTTACAATCCAACTGTCCCTGGTTGAGGCATCAACTGTGGCACCTCCAGCTGGCCTTGGGCCAAATGCCTGCAGGGTGCCACAGCAGCCTTGGGAAGGTAGAGGTGAGTGTTGATGGGAATGGGTGGAGCATAGCGGCACCTATGACGAGGGTGTCCAGGGTTCATGTGGCAAGGAAGAGAAAGAGCAGGGACAGTGGTAAGAGGTAGTGGTGGTGGGGTCTATGCCAGAACTCAGTCCCGTGGCCCCAATTTACCTGGAATAAGGCCTGAAAATTATAAGGAATCACATGGAATATTTGGTGAGCACTGTTGTTTTTGCCACAGTATACAGCCTCCAATATAGTTTGGCTGATGCAGAAGAGAATAGCACTAAATCCTCCATAGGTGAAGACCTAATACCCCTGGTAACACAGCCTGACTGTACTTGAGCTGCCTTGGCAGCCACATCTCCTTGATGCGGCTGCCTCTTCCTCTGCCCTTCTCTGGGAGCTCCTCCAGCTGCTGGTTGAGAGCAGTTCCCCCGGAGCACCACACACTATGCAAATGGGACATTTTCCTAAAGGGCCATTACCCGCTCCCCAGAGGCCCCCTTTGCATGCTGCTTTTCATGACACTTAACTCCTCCAGCACTAGGGTGGGTGCCAGGACAGCACTCCTGAGGGCAGGAGGCAAAGGGCCCAGTGCACATCCCACATGGCGGCTGTGGGTTTGCTTGCTGTCAACGCTTCTAAAAGTTAGAGTAGGGTCGTGACATCCTGCTTTCCCTCTGCACCCAGTCACGCTCTGGGGAGAGGTGGAGAAGACACAAATGCCCCATGTAATCACTAGTGTCTTTATAGGAGAGAGGCAGGAGGGTCAGAGTCAGAGGAGATGTGACGGTGGAAGCAGAGGTGATGCGGGGCCACAAGCCAGGAGATGTGGGTGTCTTCTAGGAGCGGGAAATGGATTCTCCTCTGGAGCTTCCAGAAGGAAGGCAGCTGTCAACTCCTTGATTCTTAACCCATTGAGACCCACCTCAGGCTCCCAACCCCTGGAACTATAAGAGAATAAATCTGTGTTGTCTTAAACCACTAGGTTGTGGTGATTTTTTACAGCAGCAATAGGAAACTAACACATTTTCAAAGTGCACTACTACAGCTCAGGTGTAGAGATGATAATTTTACCATTACAAGGCTGTAGAAGTCATTCACGGACAGCTCACTGTGGGCCCGGCACTGCGCTGAACTCACTGAATCCTCACGACAACCTGACAGGTAGCTCTGTTATTCTCATTTCACCATGCGAAGATGGTGGCACCCAGAGGTTCAGTTACTTGCCCAAAGTCCCTGGTTAATATGTGTCAGGGTAGGGACATGAATCAGGTCCTTGAGTAGGTTGCTCCTGTTCACTCTGTGACATGGCTTCTTGCTAAGAAGAAAGTCGACTGTTCACTGAAAGAAACACTGAACTAATGGCAGGGCCTTGAAGTGGATTTGCAGCCTTGTGTCCCTTCTGTGGTCACTGACACAGCTCTCACCTCAGCTGCTGCTCAAGAGGCCACCCCACCCCTCCCTCACGGGGCACCTGTGCCTGGGCCTCATCCAGCAGAGGCTGAGGTTTCTAACCTTCATCCCGGTGCTTTGAAACATTGATTGAGACACATGACACCAGGGCAAAGGGAGGGAATTTGGAAACATCTATATAGAGCCCAGTGGAAAAATTATTAAGATTCTTTATCTTATAGAATTATAAGAAAGATGTAGTGTGAAGTATTAGGAAAGATATTAAATATGGACTTGGTATAAAACATCCAAATGAAGTCTCCCAGACTCCTCCTCCTCCTCCTCCCCCTCCTCCTTCTCCTACATCTTCTCTTTTTCTCCTCTTCTTCCTCCTCTTCTTTCTCCTTCTTCTTTTTCTTCTTTTTTTTGAGAGAGAGAGAGAGATATCAATTTGTTATTCCAATTATTGATTCATTCACTGATTCATTCTTATATGTGCCCTGACCAGGGATCAAACCTGAAACCTTGGCATCTCGGGACAATGCTTTAACTAACTGAGCTACCTGGCCAGG